AGGCCAAATATACGTGCATTAAATAAATGTTAAATATAACTCATAATACCCTTTGGATGTGTATATTGTGAAGACCTGTGTATCAATGCATGTTTGTATTTGAGTCTGTGTGAATACACTTGTGCATGTCTGGATGACTACATGTGCTTTTTTGTATATAGTGTCTGTGTGAATGCATATGTGACAGAGTGTGTGAGGGAGAAGGTGACAGGTGGAAGAGTGTGGGAGGTTGTGACAGGTGGCAGAGTGAGGGGGTACCTGGTGGCAGAGTGAGGGAAGGAGGGGTTGAGTGGTGGCAGAGTGAGGGGGAGACACAGTGAGTGGGGGTGACTGGTGACAGAGTGAGGGAGTGGGTGACTAGTGGCAGAGTGGGGGAGGGAGGGAAGAGATGACTAGTGGCAAAGTGAGGGAGGGAAGAGGTGACTAGTGACAGAGTGAGGGGATGACTGGTGACAGAGGGAGGGAATGACTGGTGACAGAGGGAGGGAGTGACTGGTGACAGAGGGAGGAAGGGGGTGACTGTCACTAGTCACCCCATTCCTCTCTCTGTCACTAGTCACTCCCTAACTCTGTTACTGTGTCACCCGCTCCTTCACTCTGTCACTAGTCACCCCCTCACTCACTCTGTCACTAATCACCCCCTACCTCACTCTGTCACTAATCACCCCCTACCTCACTCTGTCACTAGTCACCCCATCCCTCCCTCTGTCACTAGTCACCCCCTCCCTCACTCTGTCACTAGTCACCCCAACCCTCTCTCTGTCACTAGTCACCCCATCCCTCCCTCTGTCACTAGTCACCCCCTCCCTCTCTCTGTCACTAGAAGTGAGGTGACTAACAAACAGAGTGAGAAGTGACAAAAGTGACAGAGTGAGGGAAGGGGTGACTAGTGGCAGAGTGAGGGAAGGAAGGGGTTACTAGTGACAGAGTGAGGGGATGACTGGTGACAGAGTGAGGGAGGGAGTGGGTGACCAGTGACAGAGGGAGGGAGGGAGTGACTAGTGACAGAGTGAGGGAGGGGAGGAGTGACTAGTGACAGAGTGAGGGAGGGGGTGACTGTCACTAGTCACCACCTCCCTCACTCTCTCCCTAGTCACCCCTTCCCTCCCTAACTCTGTCACTAGTCACCCCCTCCCTCACTCTGTCACTAGTCACCCCCTCCCTCACTCTCACTAGAGTGAGGGGGTGACTAGTGACAGTGAGTGACTAGTGACACAGTGAAGGGGGTGACTAGTGACACAGTGAGGGGGGGTGACTAGTGACAGTGGGGGGGTGATTAGTGACAGTGAGGGGAGGTGACTGGTGACAGTGAGGGGACAGTGGGGGTGATTAGTGACAGTGAGGAGGTGACAAAAGTGACAGTGAGGAGGTGACCTTCCGTGACAGTGAGGGGGACAGTGGGGGTGATTGAAGTGACAGTGAGGGTGGGACAGTGGGGGGTGATTGGTGACAGTGAGGGTGGGACAGTGGGGGTGATTGGTGACAGTGAGGACAGTGGGGGTGATTAGTGACAGTGAGGGGTGGGACAGTGGGGAGTTGTGGAAGAGTGACAGTGAGGGTGACTAGTGACAGTGGGGTAACTAGTGACAGTGAAATTGATTAGTGACAGTGAGGTGGGACAGTGGGGGGGACTAGTGACAGTGAGGGGGGTGTAACTAGTGACAGTGAGGGAGTGATTGGTGCCTACCTGTCTCTCTGCTTCCTCTGGTCTCCCTGGCTGCTGCTCCTCTTCTCTCCCCTGCTGGCTGATCGGCTCTGTGTGAGAGGAGTAAACAGGAAGTGATGTCACTTCCTGGCGCCTCTCCCATCACTCAGAGCACCGCGGGACTGGGAGAAGGAGACCTGGCAGAGAGCTGGTGAAGCTGCCAGGTCTCAGGGGGTGACTTGCAGAGCGGTAGGTTGTGGGGCCCCGGGCTGCATCAGGGGCCCCACAACCTATCAATTAAAAATTTAATTTGCCGTTCCAGTTGGAGAGATCTCTGATCTGATCTCTCCAGCTGGAGCATGGCTGTGTGGCCGGGCCCCTGACTGCCTCGGGCCCTCGGTCCATGACCGATATGCCCGAGTGGTCAGTCCGCCCCTGCCTATTGGCTGGTCCCAAGGGAATAAAGGTTTTGACAGTTCTTCTTGATCCCTCTAAATGTAGCCTTGTCTCGTTATTGGAGGGAGCTGTTATAATCACACTGGGGATTGCTATGCTCTGCATGCTCCCCTGAGCTTGAGTCACTTAGCTCTTTTAAGAGCTTGTTCCTGACACGCTCTCCTTGGAAGAGGGGTCTTCACCACACAGTCCTGGATGCTGGAGGTTTGTACAGGGTGGAAGGAAGAGTTCTTTCCCACATAGTCCTGGAGGACAGAAGCTGATCCAGGGTGGAAGGAAGACGGCGAGACTCCAGTCAAGATACGGCGGTTGAGGAGTCTGCGGTGGTTGTGGTGTCTGCTGCAGCGCTTGGAGTCCTCAGGAAGCGCTAGGAGCATCCGTCAACGGAGGGTACTCGGTCGGAGTACAGGGAGCTCCGTTACAAGCACAAACTCACTAACAGACACACACTCACTCACTAACAGACAAACACACACTCACTAACAGACAAACACACACTCACTAACAGACACACACAGACACACACTCACTCACTAACAGACACACACAGACACACACTAACAGACATACACAAACTCACTCACATTAACACACTCACTTTTTTTTTAATTAACCCCCGCAGCCTCCTTACCTTTGGGGATGCTGGGGGTGGGGGGTTCTCCCTCTCCCTGGGGTTCAGTGGCTGCTGGGCTACTGGTCGGTTGGGCAGTGCTGGCGAGGGAGCATTTTCCCCTGAGCGCTCTGCTCGGCTCCCTCCCTTGTCGCAGAGTGATGCCCATCACCTGGATCCGTAATATGACATCATATTCCGGCTCCCCAGCATCACTCTGTGGACTGTCAGTTAGCCGCAAGGCTAACAAGACATTTGCCCTGGGCATTTGGGGGCAACTTTTTTTGCCGCCGCCTGGCAAATATTTTTTTTGCCTCACGGCTAATACGTCCCTCCACACACACACTAACAGACAAACACACTCACTTACAGACACACACTAACAGACACACACTAACAGACACACACACACTCACTAACAGACACACACAGACACACACTAACAGACATACACACAAACAGACAAACACAGACATACACACAAACACACACTCACTCATAAACACACTCACTTTTTTTTATTTAACCTCCCCAGTCTCTTTACCTCTGTGAATGCTGGGTGGGGGGTTCTCGGGCGGGTGGTCGAAGAGAAGTAAGAAGCTCCTGAGGAAGTCACACAGACGAAACGCGTTGAGCAACATTGGGACCCTGCAATTTGGTATCAGCAGTTTCTTTTTTACATGTTTTTTTGCGAAGGATTATGTGGGCAGTATCTGTTTTCATCACCTACTATAGTTGTGCTCTCTCACTTTGTTTAACTGTCTGCACTTTAGCACTTGCACTTTTTCATGTTATACAGAGCTGCTTTGCCTACGGGTCTTTTAGCCTATTGAGGCTTTTTTATGTATATATCTTTTATCATTGCCCATTGTTGGTGCAGTTTTTCATATATATTTTTCTCAATAAATTGTGTTATCTTTATCTCATTTCTCCACTCATTTATCCATCTAGTGAATGTGGCACACCCTGTAACAAACTCATACATTTGACTGGAGAACTAAGCACACCACATACCTAGTAGTAAAACTTGCCCCGACAGTTGGAGAGATGTTTAACTATAACTGTAACGGACCGTTTTGCACAAAAGGGGTAAAAACCGTTTAGGCGATCGGCCCCCTTTCCAGAGATGCAGGCACAGCTACTGCAGAACACCAAGCTCCCGAACTGGATACAAAATAGCACTCCAACTCCCGAACTGGAACCTCCCAAATAGCTGCTAGCAGACGAACAGGAAAAGCAGACAATCAGCTTACACTCCTGGCAATCAGTCTCTAACAGCATACAGTGAATCCCAAAAGGCGAGACAAGGCTTCGTGTTGAGGTCAAGCAGTGGTCTGAGGTGCTGGCACACCCAACCTGGTTTTATTACAGTCTTGCAAATACAGGATACGCCCACGGGAGGTATAAAACAACTAATCACATCACAGTTACATCCCACGCCACTCCCTTATCCTGAGAAACTCAATTATACATTTACAGTTAAAACATACTTTCTACCCAACTGGGTACATACCGGGTCACAGGGCCCCCTGCGACCCGGTATGTACCCACTGAATGTGGGGCCCGGACGACCTTAGCAGTCCGGGCCCCCCAGGACCGCCGGGCCCATGACAACCGTTGCAGTTGTCATGCCCTGATGGCGGCCCTGCACATGGGGACACAAAACAAGCATTACTGTTAAAATACACCAGGTAAGACACATTACATTAAAACTATACATTTAACATATCCCCAGATAGCTCAGGTCTGAGTGCACATTATTAAGTGAATGGCGCTCAGACCACACGAATACAGTTTAATAGCCATGGAGCCAAAGTCTTTACAGTCAGTTTCATACGAATGGGCTCCATGGGATTCCTATCTGGGGTATAACACATTCAAACAAATCTACCGAACCCCAGGCAGAAAAGCATGAATGAAGCTTTTCTGCAGGTAAAAAAGATGTCTTTTAACAGGGGGCCATAGTCCAAAGGTAGCAGGCGAGCAACCAGGCTTCTCCAATGCAATGTGGCGAGATTGGTCTCGTCACATCTCTCCCCTTTTCCAAACAGACTAACAGGGTATCTGACCTCCTGCCGGTCAGTGCCCTTGTTAGTCCAGCAGCCCACCCACAAAACACAATCATCAGCACAGCCCACCCACAATAAATGGTTACTGCACCTGGGTAGAGGAGAAGCTTGTCCATGTCCAGGTGCCTCACCACGGCTGTGCTGGGTACGGGTACGCTGACTTGGTGGGGTGCTGCATGGGCAGAGACCAGCGGCACTCTGCCCTGTTGCCAGCGCTACTGGGAGGGTAGCCTGGTTGAAGCCTGGTTGCTGGAGGGGGAGACCGACTGTCTCCCCTTTAGATACACAGTCCTGCTGCTGGAGACCGACTGTCTCCCCTTTGGACACACAGCTCTGCTGCTGGAGACCGACTGTCTCCCCTTTGGCTACACAGCCCTGTCGCTGGGGGGCAGAACCGACCATCCCTACCCCTGTGCTGTATGTGCAGAGACCACGGTCCCATCTGCACAGTTGTGGGGCTTACTGTCTCCCCCGGGTACATTAAGCTGCCGCTGGGGAGAGGGGGTAACAAGCTCCTCTCCCACATATACTTCCAGCCGCGGGGGAGGGAGACCGACTGTCTCTGCTCCCAATACAGAGTCCTGCTGCTGGGGAAAGGAGACTGGGCTCTCTATTCCTGGTAGGACACTCTGCCGCTGGGGAATGGAGACTGGGCTCCCAATTCCCTGTTTTATCTCCCGCTGGGGAATGGAGACTGGGCTCCCAATTCCCAAAAAATCACGCTGCCGCTGGGGAGGGAGGACACTGCTCTCCTCTCCCTGGACTTCACACTGCCTTCCCGGCATATCACTTGCTGCTGGGGGGCAGGAACAACTACCTCTGCCCCCTGTAACTCAGCCTGCCGCTGGGGAGGGAGGACGCTGCTCTCCTCTCCCTGCACTTTACACTGCCTTCCCGGCATATCACTCTGCTGCTGGAGGGCAGGAACAACTACCTCTGCCCCCTGTAACTCAGCCTGCCGCTGGGGAGGGAGGACGCTGCTCTCCTCTCCCTGCACTTTACACTGCCGCTGGGGAATGGAGACTGGGCTCCCAATTCCCTGCTGTACTGCCGCTGGAGTTTCTCCCAACGTGCCAACTGACCTTCTCTTTCTGCCCGTTGTTGCAGCCTCTCGAACACTAGGTTCCTCACGAACCGCACCGATCTCTCCAGTGGATTGGATCCGAAGAAGCTTAGGTGAAACCACACCATCCGGTCATACTCTCTCATAGAGTAGCTGTACTCCACTGCTGGTTCCATCCTGGTGCTGTCAGGGTCGCTGTACTAGGACATGCGTTGCCCTTAACTTGTAAATCCAAAGAAATGGTGTCTCCTGTAGCTGTCCTTCTGGCTGTAGGAACGATCCCGCCGCTTGCCACCAATGTAACGGACCGTTTTGCACAAAGGGGTA